AACCTTATTTAGGACTGTTGATATAAATATTCTTTTTGAATTGTTTAGTTTTTTTATATTTATGTAATGATATAATTTTTTCCTATATTTCCTGTGAAATAATATAAATCAAATTATATATCCTATCAATTTAAAATTGTATCCAGACGTTTTACTTTCAATTATTAATTGCTTTGAATTCTGTGTGTGTGGTGTGTGAGTGTGTGTGGTATGTATACGTATATGTATCTTGCATATACAGAAAAAAATGACCGAACAAAATAAAAATATTTTTACTTTATATTTTGATTGAAGAAAAAAATCTAAGTTTATTCTAAGTTTATTCAAGAACATAAAGATTGCTTAAAAGGAAAAATATTTTATAGTTAAAATATACAATAAGACAATCATATAAAATTAATTTTTATGTTGTAGAAACTTAATAACCAAGTTATCATGATACAAGATTTAAACATTAAAGCATTAGAGTCAAACATACCATTGTCAGGAAAAATTGTTAAATGGTGGCAACGGTACAACCAGTTGATAGGATTAGATACGGTTGAGGCAGCAAGAAGACAAATGATTGCTCTTCAAAATAAATTGTTCGAGTGTCAGGATAACAGGAGAACTTTGAATAAAGAATTAACAGATATCACTTATAAATTACAAGATATCTATGCAGAATTAGTTCAAACAAAGCGAGATGATCCTAAATATGTGCAATTAACAATAGTAGAACATAAGTATTTACAAGAACAAAAGAAAGTAATTAACCAGCAAATGTTATCTGAAAAAGAAGAAAGAGATAATTTTACACAATTAGCAACGGCTATAAAAGAATATCATGATAGTCAAAATTTACATGCACAAAAATATAAGTATTTATCTTTCTTTGCTTCTGCTGTATTAGCAATTGCATCATTAATTGGTTCAATGATGCTTAATAACAAGAGAATACTAGATGTACGAAATACTATACAAACGGCACAAGAAAAAAACGAATTGTTACTTCAAGCAAATACGAATGAATTATCTGATATTAAAAAAACATTGCATTCGCTCAACATTACATTTTCCCAACAATTAGCAAATATCAAGAAGGAACAAGAAAATAAGGAAAACAGCAATAAATCCAGTACATCTAATATTGCGCCTAACATTATACCTAATATTTTTATGACTTCTGCTAAATATTCAGCAAATTTATTGATTTCGGGATTGAATTATTTCAAAAGAGGAATTTATGCAAGTGGATAATATATTTTTTATAAGTAACACAAATAATTTATGTGTATTATTAAAAATTTACAATTACTCAATGTGGTTCAATTTGCAAATCTTATATCTCTTTCTGATATAATGAAACAAGATATTTATGGAAATTTTTGTAATAGGTAACACATATTACAATTTATATTAAAACTTGAGGTTACACACATATATACTGTGTGTGTGTGTTTATATAAATATAAATATATATATATGTACTGAAGTGTACATGTATGATATATAGCTAATATGCAAATATATATTGAGAACAAAATACAAAGTTTTGTTTTGTAAGATAATAAAAGCCATGTTTTGTATATGTCAAGCCAAAAACTTTATATCCTTTATAACTGAGACAAAATGTAAAGATTTATTTTTAGATATTGTATGTGTTATAATATTATATAATCATAACTGTCAATTGTAAATCTATATGTTAAATCATCTATTACATTGTAATGTAAACTGTAAATATATATATTAATAAATGATTTTATATATCTTATTTAGCCATTCAAGATTTTGTAAACTGCAAATTATTATTGAGTTGAGTATTATGTCACAATACATACAAAAAGATATCTGTTCCAAGTGAATAATCAACACATAGATTTTTATTACTAAAATTTTTAGATAATTAGATAATAGATGATAATTGTGAGGATTAATCACGATCATTGCATGCAAAAATAAAATAATTAAGAAATTATAAGTTATGAATTCCATGATTTCCATTCCATTCCATCTGGTGGTTTTCTCTCAACCGTTTTTCGTCCTACTTCTTCCCAATTTGTACTTAAGACAGTTCCACCAGATTCTAGCTGTATTTCACAAAAAAAAAAATATATTAATATCAGCTGTATTAAATAGGTTATACATATATATCTAAATTAAATTTCCAATTATAATTTAAAAAAAAAATCAGTATCTTATATGCAACATATAGTTTTTAACATATTAATTTTCATTGGCAAATATACAAAGTCATACATAGAAATCAAATTTACTTCATTAAGAATTTAATTTTGATTAAAAAAAACAAATTATTTCATAAAGTTAATTTCATTTCGTTTGTTATGTTTAATTTGATAATAAAGGATATTTTACTTACAAAGGACTTATTCATTGCGCGCCTTACTTCATCTGATCCATTACCATATATCTTTTGGAAGAGAGCATTCACTGCAGCCTCACCTTCAGTTTCTTCTGCTGCCTCTTGTCGTTCTATTTCTTTTTCTACCTTATTCCAATCTTTTGGTATTTTACAAGAACTTGGATATTTAAACGGTTGTTCTCTTGGAGCTTGGAGTATTTCTAAAATAGTGTGTATAATTTTAAAAAAATATTACTTGCATATATATATTATATCATAATATTGCAAAAGAAATATATAATAATCAAATAATAAAAAATATAAATTGAAGATGTTATATCATTAACAATTATAGATATTAAACATTATTAACAATATAAATAAGTTTGAATATCATCTTGAATATTTGCTAAATATTGTGCAAAATTGTTTAACAATCCACTTTTTCATATATAATTTTATATTTATCAAATTCCATGAAATAATAAATAATTTTATAATTTACATTATTTGTTTATAATCTACCTTTTGGTATAGGTTTTACTGTACATTGCACTGGATCTCCCTCTAGTGTCATCCATTTAATATCCTTCTGTTTTTTTAATTTAATTTCTATCTTAGATGGCCATACTTTGTATGAACATTGTTCTATCACTATAAAGTTAGCCAAATCTAATTCTAAACTATATTCATTGCCAGATGGCAACTTGGCAGATACACTTAACTGAAAAATTTAATATGATAAAAGTTGAAATATTTAAATAATATTAAACTTGTTTATAGTTTTATTTATCTAGCCTTATTTATCAACAACTGTTTCAATCTGTAATATTATATCTGTATAAATTTGTAATATTAATTTTTATAAAAATAATCATAAAATATTTCAATTTAGTTACTATATATGGCTAACCAGACATCTCATTAAATATCAAGTTATCTAAAAATAGTTTCAAAGAGATATATAAGAAATATTATGTCTTCAAATATAATTATATCCTAAACAATGTCGTTCAATACTATATTATCTACTCTATTATCTACTAGCAAATAGATTAATAAAGATACATACAGTACTTTCTCCATAAATGATTTTCACATTTTCTGTATTTTTAGCAAATATCGTTATAATAACATGAGTCTCTGTTTGATACCACTCATATTTTATCTTATCTTTAGATATGGGCATCTATAAACATCATCAATCATACTTTAGTCTCATCATTTTTTTTGAGGTTACATATTTACACTAAGTTACTCATATGTACTTACCTTGTCGGCTTCAATTTGGGTGGCAGTTTTATTTGCATCCATTCTTTTCACGTTTATTATTCGATTATATTACATAACAACAAAACGGTTAAACTCAATGCTAAATCGACAACTTTCAATCTTCTGGAATCTTCGTGTCATTATATACCTTGGAGGCAGGAGGAGGGAAGATGCTGCAAAATAAAGGCTATAGCTGCGATCCATTCGCTGCTACAAAAGTAGTAGTATTTAATTGACCAATCAGAACAAAAAATAGTATAAACTGACCAATCAAAAATGTTTTGAAGCATTGAATGTTTTGTAGCACCAAATGGATCGCATTTTATGGCACAAAAAAAACGTAAACAATAAAAAAATTTAAACAATAAGCGAATCACAGCCAATCACAGTCGAGAACGTAGCAATAACATATGGTGCTTTCTAGCAAATGACACAAAAATGTTTACACGGGATCTGTTCCTTTTAGTTGAACTGGCTGCACTAGTTCACAGTTTATCTTTTAGCGAATTCAATTGGGCGCATCAGTGTGAACTGAGTGTCGTCCTTCTCACTTTTACCAATATCGATAGAAGTGAAAGAGGGAGCACTCAATCGAATTCGCTATTTCTTTTTTTACACTGGAAGAAGAAAGATAAACTCTGAACTGAGTGCAGCCAGTTCAGCTAAAAAGAACAGATCCACGGGGTTCTAATGCGGAATCTTGCGTTCGATTGGTACATTCTTTTAAATCTAAAAATGTGTTCCAATTAAATGCAAGAAATCACTAATTACGGTTGTCACTAAATCGGATTAACGTCGCCGTGTAAACTTATGGCTCTCGCACCTGACTCGCCGCGAGCGATGAGCGATACCCAATGAGAGCTTTGCTTTTTCATCCATGATC